TGACTCCATTCACATGGACTGTCTCTCAGAATTAATGAAAGAACTCACAGATGACAGCACCAAATCCTTGAATGGTAATCACTGAGGAATCACAGATAACATAGATGATCAGGGATAGGGAATGTAGTTCTGATTTCCAAAGATTGAAAGAATAACAAGGGTTGGATTATGGTACAAAGAGTTGGTGTATCTCACTCTAGGTCACACAATAATTCTGAGTAACACAGAATTCCTTTGACCATGGTGTTAACATAGATACTGTGAAGCATGGTTGAGCCACATAATTTTAAACAAAAGACATGTAAACCTTCATATGGTATTTGTTCTAATTTTTAACTCAGAATAATAGGACATTTATTTAAGAATATGAAAGAACCCTGGCTTGTGATAGCATGTCATGTGTTATCACAGTTGTGTGAATATTAAAAGATAACTTCTGCCCAGCAATAAAGAGCTCATTGTGATCCACTTGTGATGTTGAATATTGCTTACCTCTTATTTGTTTCTAGTCCACAGGAGACGTTAGCTAGATAAATAAACAGAGTTGATCTACATAGAAAGTTCTTCCTAAGAATCTGGGCTTTAACCTTGGCCTTATGTGTACAGCATTCAAATCAACTGACCTAAAAAATTACAGGTATCTTTGCATATTACCCACATGACTACGGCATTTTCCTATACAGAGCTTTAGGGAACCCCATGATTGGTAAAAAGTCAGTGCATATGAGCAAGATTCTGTAGCCTGATGTCCATGATTCGAATCCTCCACTACTTTCTAGTTGTGTGACCTGTGTAAATTATTTAACCTCTGCTTGCTTTAATTTCCCCATCAGCAAAATGTGGACCATAAGAGTACCTACTTCATGAAGTTGTTATGAGGATTAAATGAGTTAAAATTTGTAGGAAGCTTAAAGTCATATATGACACCTACAAATAAATGTTTATGAAGTAAATAATTAATTAAGTTATTGTTTTAATGTAGTCTTTAAATTGATACTGCTAACTGACTTAGAGCTGGTCTTTCGAAGAAAAATAATCTCATTAATGTAATAATTGGGAGTGAGAAGATCAAATATAATATGATTCAATGCTTAGAACAGCATAAGAATGTCATATACACATAATATTTACTCGTCTATCAATGTTTAAAAGACAAAGTGCCTGTAATCATTATAATATTAAA